GCATTCTTGTTGGCTCCAGCCTCGAGCAACAACCGCACCACTTCCAAATGGCCCCGTTCTGCTGCAACAAACATAGGTGGCGGTGTGGGGTCAGTTTCTGCACCTCGACCATTGGGATCTAGGGGTTTCTGAAGCAAACGTCTAACTGCAGCAACTCGATTGTCCTCACACGCACGGAGCAGTGCCTCCCAAACGGCCTCCTTCGGTGCACAGAAGTTCAAAATTACCAATTGCAAGCTTGGTGGTAGTTGTCTGACAGGCACATCATCCTGTAGCTCGCCCACCTCTGCATTCAGCAGCCTCTGTCGAAATCTTGAGAATCCAACTCGATCTGTCAGGCGTCTGTTCAGATCCCTAACTGAACTTCCACTCTCCACCATGCAGGCCAATTCCTCCTCATGAAGCTGGGTGACAGTGGCACCTGAGAGTGTTGTAATCTCCATTGCTCGGCCCGTCCGTTCCATGCAAACCGATGCAAAAAAGTACCTTTGCTGAAAGCCCAAAGCCCCAAAGCCCCTGTCACATACACGTATTGTATAGATTCTTGTTGTTTGTCAGACCGTCTATTCACCCATTCAACATATACTGTAGTACTCTGTAGATATGTCATGTCTCAAAAAATGATTAGATCCCATCATTAACTTTGAAACAGCTTCAGGTTGGTCCAGGTCCAACCAGGGTGGAACTGCAGCTTGCTCAAGTTGCCACACTTCTCGAACTGTGTACATGTTTCACTTCCATGTTCGCATAAGGGTCTCGAAATGGACTTTGAATTCCACGAAATAGGAATCCACCAGGAAATTTCATTTGCTGTGTTGACAAGCACCAAAGATTCAACTGCGGTTTCTGATTGTTTCTTCATTCAGTGGGAGTGAAGATGGGTCAAGAAAGAGTCATCATAATGTAGACTCTTGATTGATCAAACCCCAGATCCGTGTCTGGTACGGCTGCTCTATGCCGTGCTGGGCTTCTCGGGCTCGTTTCGGCTGCTCAGAGTGCACCACCGATCCCATTAGTCAGCGAGCGCCCTTCACGCACGCACCGTCCCCGTCCCCAGCACCGCGCCTGCCTGCATGAGAGCCCAGGTGGACAAACTCAACGGCCGACCGCTGGGCCTCTTTCGTGCGAGTGGAGAAGTCCGCGGTGTTCGAGGCTGGGCACAAAAACAATGACATAAAGTAGTCTTCCACACATCACATCACCCGAAGTCTTCCAATTCAGCGTCACCACCCAGCGCGCTGTCCGTCTGGTCCGCCCAGGCGCCGAGCCGAGCATCGTCACGAGGCCCCAGACCGCTGGGCCTCGAGCGAGGCGTGGTGCGACGTCCGGTTGTGGAGAAGTCTGTGTTGATTCGAAGAAAAGCACCCTCACCCTCCGGGTTGGAGGCCAATAATTACTAATAATTAAGAAGCTACTAGGTTGGAGGCATTGTTATTTACTGTGGTTATTATGACTGTTGTTCGCATTTCCACGGGTCATTCCACAACAGGGTTCAAGGTCATTGACACTGCGACTCACTCATGTAACACTTGCAAGAGTCTTTTGAAGATGGGCACCTGTGGAAATGGCAACCCTCCATTGTCCATAGAACGTGAGCTTGCTGCGGCCAACGATGAACTATTGAAAGGAGTGAACCGCCAGCCATTTGCATTGCTCTCAAGGGAAATCCAAGTGTACTTGACACATAGCATGCATCACAAAAACCCGCAACAGCAAACACATCTGAGACTGCCCGAAAAGCATAGCTGCAAGGTTGGAGGCCATCGTAGTAGGTTGGAGGCCATCCCTAGTAGGTTGGAGGCCACTGCTTCTAGGTCGGAGGCCACCGCTATTAGGGTGGAACAAAACTCCAAAACATCTCATTTTTCTCCATCACATCACCCGAAGTCTTCCAAGCTCTGTCACCCGCCCCACAAAGCCTATGAGCCGACCGGGCGTGAAGCGCACCAAGACCAACGGCGCAATGAAGAGCCAGCCCTGGGTTGCCAGCCTGCGCTGGGAGAGCAGACTTTGGAGCACGACTCAACAGCTAGGAAATCAATAATTGACTCACCAACACCTTTCATCTGAAGGAAATCCTTGGAATTTTCTGAAGCAGGACACATAACGGACACCTTGTGAAAACGGATTTCCTGTTTTTGTTGGATCCCGGAGCAAAAATCAATACATGTTTGCATCACCTCTGCGTGTGGATCACCCAACTACACTATCAATACCAACAACCACAAAAGGCTTTGATACGGTCTGCTTTGCCCTACTACCGCTAGTTGATATATATATATATATGTACTTGTACAGGAACCTGACAAAGTCATCCCTCAGTCATCCCTGGTCACTGTTTCGATGCCAAATCACCATGGCAACGCTGTTTCCAAAAAGTCATGCCCCAGTCAGCCCCGGGAGCCAACCCCAATGGAACGCTGATACCCAAACAAGGTCTGTCACCAAAAAAACCGACCCAAACAGTGCAATGACCAATGGAACGCTGTAGAAATTCTGCCGCCAACTTTAGGCACATCAGGTGACTCGACTTGAGGTGACGGAGGTGCACGAAAGGTAGAGGGTTGGAAGATTCTGAGCAGGAGCAAGCAGCCAGCAGCAGCAGCAGCAGCAGACCAGCAAACCAGCAAACCAGCAAACCAGCAAACCAGCAGCAGCAGACCAGCAGACCAGCAGACCAGCAGACCAGGAGACCAGCAGACCAGCAGACCAGCAGACCAGCAGACCAGCAGCAGCAGCAGCAAACCAGCAGCAGGCGAGCAGCAAACCAGCAGCAGACCAGCAGCAAACCAGCAGCAGCAGCAGCAGACCAGCAGCAGCAGCAGCAGACCAGCAGCAGCAGCAGCAGCAGACCAGC